TCTTGGCCTGTGAGCTTTGGGAGATCCCTAGTGACTTTCTGGATATTTGCCCTTGGCATGCGTGTTTGTGAGTGATCTGAGATTTCATTTAACAAAGCTGCACAAACAAGGCCAGTTAACCTGTTAGGAAAAGATCAGATGGCTGGGAATCATAGTTGATTCTCCAGTTCTAACAATCCAAATAGCTCTGGCTGAAGGTCACCAATCAATTAGACAAGATAATTTCAATAAGTCCTCTTAATGAATTTTTATGTGTTCCACCCACAGTTTGGATAGCTGCATCCCTTTATTTTAAATGGACAATGCTTTTGATCTGCACAGAACCCGAGGAGGTTTGGGGAGATGAAACTCTCTGAGGGTAAATTGCTCTGATAGTATCTGTGGAGGTATATAATCTATATAATCTGCACTGCTGCTGTCTCAAAGCAGGTCTGGCTTACCTGCTTGTTTTTTAAGTTCTATGAAAACATGATGCATCTTCAAGCAAGAAAAAGAAATCTACACTAAGGCTTCTTTAGATGGGGCACTAAGGGGTTAAAGGCACTGCCCAGTCGCAGGAAGCCTGTTTCAAGGCAGGCATCCACTGGAATAAGGTTTTGCTGCAGACAGTCTGATGTGCTTGCAGCAAGGATTGCAGCCTTATCAGTAAAGATAAACATGCAAAGGCTTCCCAACCCCTGTGTCCCTGCCACTTGTTTGGGATCCTTTTCCAGAGACCAAGAGAAAATACAAGATCTTCACCAAGATAGATGCTGCTTCCAAAGGGGGCAGCCAGCAGACTTTGTAGACACAGGCCATGTATTACTCTGTGGTTTGGAACAGGTACAGGAGATATTAGTTTACCTGATTCAAAATAGTACTGGAGACCTGGCAGTATCATGTGGGGTTGGCCCTTTCCCCTCACCCATCAGTCTTTTGCTGAGTGTCCAAATGCTGGACAACGCTGGGTTTTGTTGCCCTCACTGAGTTATTTGCCATAGCTAATTTCTGCTGCCAAGCAACCTCCAGGTTTTACTACCCATTTGTTTGCCATTTCCCACAAATACTTTGAATGTTACTTTATTTTAATCCTGGTGCTGAGAGGAGGGGAATGGAGATAGTGTTTCTGTTAAAAATGCACAGGATCAGCTACAGAATATTCGGGCACAGAACAGACCACTTGAGTTGCATGCAAAAACAGTCACAATGGTAATATTAGGTGTAATTAAGGTGCAGCCTTGTAAATAATACGCTCTTCTTATTTCTCTCTCTTCCTGTTCTGTCACGAAACACAGCAAAGCAGGAGATGCAAAAATCAAGCACCTGGCTTCTTGAGGTCAAATTTCAAGTGTCTGTGTTGAAAAATGCAGAAATTATTCCAGATGGGTGAGAACTGGCACTCTCTTTTTGTCCAGGAAAGTTTGTGCCATTCTGCAGGCTCAGCCTGGGTCCCTCTGTTTTGCCACTGAGCCTGATTGACACTTACATGTGTGTGGCCTTTTTACACAGTGGTGGACTTAAGTTTGAAAATCCAGACATTTTTGGACTGTGACAACAGTTGGTATGGTGTTTCAATCTGTATTTTATTTTTTAAAAATTATATATACTATTTTTAAAAGAGGGAGTGTGGCAACTTATTGCAAAAATCAGAGAGAATAGATTACAGAAACAATTTAAAAGTTGCTCCCAGCTGAGTTAGTCTTTGAATGTGGAAAAAGACACTTATTTCAAAAATTTCTCTTAAACTTGCAGTGTGATAGATAAAGCTAGTTCTGAGAACGTGAAAATGTGGGCTCCATGTGCTAAAGCTATTTGAAAAGAGGTGTGAGTGAAGGGGCTGAGGTTGGTGTGAACGTCAGACTTCCTGCCTTCTGCACTTTCTGTGTCGCAGCTGTAGCACGTTCATAGTGTGGCACTTCTTTTAAAAGGGACTCTGAACTAGCCCAGCCTTTCAGGGAAAGACGAGCTGCAGCCAGAAATTCTGGCCCATCGCAGGATGACAAGAGGAAGAGCTTTGTTACTAGCTTGTGTTTGATCTTAGCTGCTTTTTTTCTGCTCTCAGTAGCATGCTAATGATACCTGTGGGAGGTGAAAAATGGGTGAATTCCTGCTAGGGTGCGGACAAGTTCGCAGTTTAGTTCTTGTCCTCTTCTTCCCCTCTGGTAAAAATTTTGGGGGCTGTCCCAGATACATAAAAAAGAACTTTTTCCTAAAATAATTTCTGTTCTACATCTGCTGAGGAGTCTGAATCAGAAAGGCAGTAAGCAGTTGACTCAGTTTGTTTTGTCTCCTCTCCCCCTTTCTTATGTTTGAAATTATGAGTATTTATGGGAAATGACTGGCTTGAAAGTCTAGGACAAGTCTGAGCTGCCCATAAGCCACTCTTTTTCTACAGTTCAGTTTTGCCTCATTTATTTTAAACTTTAAAGCTGAAATGCCAAGTGCATCCTAAATCCCCTTTTGTTTCAAATGCCAGAGTTGCCAGTTTCACATTTCTTACTCGTGATTCTCTACATATTATGTCCCCCTTGGTATCAGAGGACCTAGCAGAGTGGGCAGGCTGCACCCTGGGTCAGAAGAACAGGGAGATGGTGAAACAGAAGAGTGCCAAACCTGGAGGCAAATACACCCCAGTTTCTGCTGCTGCCCAGGGAGAGGGTCTGCAAGTCTGCGATAAGGGATGGAAGGACACCGAGAGGGATGGGTGGGCCCCCAAAGGCGGTGATCTGGATGCCAACGTATCTTGCTCCAGCTTTGCAAGGAGCAGCATGCAAATGCTTCAGAGGGAGGGCTAGCTGTGGTCTGTGGTTTAGGGAGTTGACACAAATAGTCTCTGAACCTTTTTTATGGGCCTGCAAAGGAGTGCTCTCTCCAGGAAACTGGAGCCTGTCATCCTTGGTGTAATCCTTTCTTGCTTAGCAGGTTCGAGGCTGTGCTCAGAGCAAGCAGCCATGGCTGGCTGACGGAAAGGGGGGTTTAGCATCCTGCACAGTTTGCTATGTTAGATTAGAATAGGCATGTTGGTAATTAAACACTTGGATCTGGGTTTCTGTTCCTAAACTACTGTAAATCAACAATTGAGTTCTGTGGCAGGGAACCTTTGACAATATTTCTGTGCCCAAGAACCGTGTGGGATAGGTTATTTTTAAACCTCTTTCAGTAAGTGCACTATGTAACATTTTTGTGGACAGAAAATACAGAACAGTGTGTTGACCTTCATTGCTGATCAAACTTCATCTGCAGCTAGATATAACTGATAGCAGGTCTTACCTGGATTTTCTTTCTCTCAATTCATGTAGGTGGTCATAGGGAGAAGTGAAATACTTCCGTAATACATATATCACAAATACCTGCATGGAATAAGAAGAAATAAGAATGAAGTGTGTCAGAGGGGGAAATGCATTGCAGATCTTTCAACTTCAATGAGAAAATATTCCCATAGTTCAGATATTTCATTCTACATGAAGGCTGATGCTCAACCTAATAAAATTTATCTATGTGGAGAGAGATCACTACCTACTACAAAAATATCAGCACTCTGTTGGTGTGCACTCTGCTTCTTGTACCTGGCAAAGCACTGGTTACACCGATCTCCCCGCCCGCTTCCCTTCCAATTGGGAGCTCTACAGAGATGACCAGAGGGAATCTTAGTGATACTACAAAGAAGCCTGTTTGCTTAAGAGGGCATATGTACATCTTTTAACAATCTGGTTGTGTACCTTCTTTCTGGGAGGATCCCTGACCTTATACAGAGAGGGACAAGTGCTAATTAACTTAATTCTGGGAACAGGAGGTGGTATGACCTTTTCCAAAGTGATTCTTTTGGGGCAGAATTTACAGAGAGGTATTTGCTAGGACTGATGCTTAGGTTTGCTATGAAAACATTATTCATACAGAGGTGTAAAATTCCCTGGTGTGGCTAGGGAAGAAATTCACCTTCCAATCTCTCTAGTTAGGGGTCATGGTTTCTTGCCTAAAAATTGTTGGCATGGTGTCCAGATTTATGTTATTTGGTATCAAAACACAGTTACGTTTTCTATCATATCTTTTAGCACTGAGCACAGCAAGTAGATCCATTAGACCATAATTTTGGACACCACTCACTGGGTTGTGAACACCCCATCTTTTATTGGCAACGCAGGAGGAAATTAGTTTCTGGGGCATTTTTTTCCCTGAACTATCAAGGTGTTATTTGTTCTGAGCATCTTCCAAATTTCAACCTCTTTTTGCCAAAGAAGTGGTAAGGCCTCTTAATGTCAACTCTTTGCTGTGCTCCTTCTGAGAAGCTCAGGGACACAATTACAAGCACTGAGTGTGCCTACACCATTCAATTTGTGTTCTTGCTACCAGCACTAAGCAATCAGTCCCAGTTGCTCCAGTGTAGACAAAACCAGAGGCAGCTACAGCACTGCCTTAGCAGCGACTGCAGAGAGCAGAGCTTATGGAAATGGGCCTGAGGTGAGCAGGACAGAGGGCCATTGGTGTGACTCCGCTGAGGAAATGAAGTGCAGCCCCAGACTGGAAGCAAGTTGCTGTAGACCCCCTGGCTGGCCACGTGTCAGGCTCACAAAGGCATTTAGGATGCCTGGCTACAGAGGAGTAGGCAGAAAGCTGTCCATGGTGTCTTACAGCTGGAGAAAGGTAGGAAGGCAGCTGATAAAACTGAATTTTCCTCAGGCAAAGAAGTATCTTTGCTCCCTGCTCCCTGTTGTCATCTAATGTATTTTTAAAAACCCCAACAAGGCAATTCTCCCTCATTCCCCACCACCACCCCCAACAACACAAAAGCACAGGCTTGCTGGACCCTAAGAGAAACAAAGTAAGCACCTCTTTGGAAAACACTGCTGGGGCCTGCGGCCATCCCGCATTCCTGAGGAGGCTGCGAGCCTCCTCCCCAGCGTGCCTGCCCAGCAGGGCAGCCGGCTCCGGAGGCCGCGCTGCTGCTGCTCCCTCGCTGCACCAACATGCCCGCGCACAGCCCCCGGAGGGGCTCGCACCTCTCCCCGCCGTGTCCGTAGCCACGTTTTGTGCTGCCCCTGCTCAGGGGAACAGAAGCAGCAGCTTCACCATGAGGCATTTTCTGCCATAGCCATTCAAAAGACAGCTCCATGTCTGAAGTGCTGCCAGACTGAGCTACGAGCACTGCGAAGCAAACAGCTGCCACATCCTCATCCTACTTCTTGTCACGGCACTGCACTGGAGCTGGAAGTTTTTCAGCAATGTAACTAGGTAAGGGGTATTTATTTTGATGAAAATGAAGGTAAAATCCCTATTTCCCAGTTGGTTTGACTCCTATTTACAAAGATCTAGTAATGCATGTATGTAGGAGAAATATCTTACATGAGTAAAAATGTGCCCTGCTAATATTAAAAGGTGCGCGGTGGAATTTTGCCTAAGGATAAAATGTCATTTTAATTGAAAGCTGCTGTAACTTGATAGGGCATATCCACAACAGTCTTGAGGATCTACTTTAAAATACAGTTAAAGACAGAGACTACTCCCACCCCTGTCTCTTAGAGCTACATGTCCTCTTTGATCCATCCATGGTGCTTACGATTCCTAAGAGACACGCATACTGTCAGTAGTCTGAGCTCATTAATATTTATATACCTTTCATCTGAAGATGTGTGCTTTGCAATTATTAATTAAAAAACATTTCACAAACCCCTAAAATTTAGCTCCATTGCATAGCTTACAAAATGAGGAAAGTTTGTGTGTCCTTTGCATGAAACAAAGTGAGATTAGGAATGTGGAAGCTTGTCTGCATGGACTTTTACTGTGCAGTATTTCTCTACCTTTCTTTTGCCAGTAACTTTGGACAAGGCAGCACAGGTTTCCCTTGACAATAAGATGCACCATGAGCTGTACTACCTAGGCAATACTGAGAAGATAAGTGAAGGGAGCCTTCTCTTTCGTTCTGGTTCTTCACACAGTGCTTGCTTGCTTTTTAGAAAGCTTCTTTAAAACTACAGCCTGGAAATGCTTTGTCAGCCCTGCAGCCCACATCTCGAGTGAATATTTTCTTGGACATGTTAAACTCTTCCCTTACCCTGTATTTTGGTTCTCATGTTAGAGTAGATAGAAGGGATGGTGGGTTATAATCCACCAGATGTGGCCCTCTCCTCTCCGTCCTCCCTGGTGCTTATGGAATGAAGGAGCTTGGCTCAGTGTGAGACTGATAACGGGAGGGAGGGCTTGCCATGCGATTAGACCAGTTCACTGTAAACATCTAAGTTGCACAAGTGGCTCAAACTTTGATCTTTTTGTTGTGGAAAAGAAATCTGAGACTCTGAAACCTGCCCTCAGTCACAAACAAGGAGGTGGACATTACTCAAGCCCAACTGTGGAAATGTAAATACAGTTAAATGTGATCAAAATGGAAAAAGCACTTTTTTCTTCCTCATCCCCTGCTCCCCAGTGTACTGCCTACTTTTACCAGGGGCTCCTACTCTGACTTGCCTAGCTTTGTTTGTGAATGCAGGCCCCAGTCTCACACCTGAAACACCCAAATCCAAATGCTCCCGAGTGCTGTCTGGGATAAGGTTTAAGCCACAGGTGCAATTAAGCTTTTAAGTGGTAAGCCTATTTGGTTAGGGGCACACCTAGAGCCTGCAACAAGCTGGGAGAAAAACGATCAGTCTTTCAAACTGACAGGTGGTTCCTGAAATACTGCTGGAAGGGTTAAGAAGAAGCTACAGCTTTTGTGATTCTTCTGGTATTTAGTGTAACAACTCTCAGAACAAGGTCTTTGTGGATACATCTGGCTGTCCTAGTGAGGTGGGATTTGATTTTAATTACAAATCTGGTAATGGATTATCAAAATGATGGTTTTGCTGAAGCCTTGGGCACACTCTTCATAGTCCTGTCTTCTTTTTCTCTCATGCCCTCCTTCCAAAATCTGCTTGTGCAAACACTGGAGCAAAAGGATATGTTTTGTGGAAGTGTAGGCTGTTAGCCTGTGGTCTGTTTTACTATTGGCATTTAGGCCTTTGATTAGATTTTTAGAGGAGAAATGTCATAGTAGGTTGTCTGATAAAATGCTGGTGAATATTTTAAGATGCAAATGTTTACAGGCATTCAATGAAGATAAGAAAAATGAGGGATGTGAGATTTCAGTAATTCCTTACCATTCTGATTTTTTTGCACTGTGTCATAGCTTTGCTTTTACAATCATTAGAACAGCATCAGAGACCTTTGCTTTGCATAGCCTTGAGTTCTTGGGCAAGGATTTAAACATGGAACATTAAGACATGTTAGTGAACATGTCCTAATTAGTCTCTTCCTTGGCTACCACATCCTCAAAGGCCACAAGCCTTACCTACACTATACTTCTCAAATACCTTCAACAGTATAGTATTTTATCCTAGTCTAGACAAAGTCTTAAGGGTTATGTTGTCTAGTCAACTAATCACTCCTTTTAGTGGGAAAACTGTTTTTCCTTTAGAATTGTTTCTCTGTTTTTTCCTCCTTGCTGTCTTCTTTTCTCCTCCTTCCCTCTGCATACCTTCCCTGCAGCAACTCCTGTTCCATCTGCCGTAATGGAAGCATTAACTATTTAATTGCTGATTAGGAAAATCTCATCACGTGGGCTTTGCAACAATACTGGAGTGGGAGGCAAGAGGAAGGAGATGTGTAAGTTCCCAGTTTTCTATCACAAGCTGACCTGGGAGGGCATTAGTCATTCCTGACGCTGTGAGGATGTTTAACACTCCTTCACTCTAAGGGGTACAACAGTGAAATGGGATTTGGATGTACCTCAGCCCTTGTCATCTCTTGCTGCCGAACTTGCTATTTGACCTCGAGCAAACTAGGCTGGGCCTTTCGTCCCTTAAGTGGATAGAGGGCAAGTACTGTAACTAAGTGCTTTTTGATTCTTAAATGCAGAAAACACATTCATGCAAAGGACTAGTTGATTTCTTGTACAGTAAAAAGTACTGTGAGCTTTTGAAATCTTTTCTATATGCTTTTGCACCAAGTTGCAGAGAGTTAGATGAGAAGCTGGAGGAGATCTGCAGTTCTCCAAGCAGTGAAAGCCCTTTTAGCTCTGCATTCCCAAGCAGCCATATGGGACTTTTGCCCAACTGACTTATTTCCTTGTGTGATGCAAATTCAGCTGGTGGCCCCCTTCTTTCCCCCTGGCATCTGCTATTCTAAGCATTCGCGTGGGTTATCAGCATTTCAGCTCCTCTTTGCACTTCCAGCACCCAGTTGCCACAGCCGGGTGTAGTCTGTAGTACGATACTTGTGAAAACTCGGCAGACTCGGAGGGGACTGTGGGCGATGTGGTAAGAAAAGGTGTGCAGGTGGACTCTGCAACCCACGTAGTCAGCCTCTGCCCTGAGGGCTTTTCATGGCTCCTAATTGCCAGTTTCTCACTTGGTTTTGCAGGACTCTGGAAGTTGCGTTGGAGATGGGAGTCCAACCTTTTTCATTCTGTTGTGAAAGAGAAAGGACTGAAATATTGGGATAATTGGAGAACTAATGAAATTGCCATTGTAAAAGACAAGAAAATGGTATTCTTAGCAATTAGCAAGGGAAAGCGTTTCAGTCAGACTGAAACTATCTTCTCATTTGTTTGAGGAGTTTATGGTTAGCAGATGTTTAATTTCCATAAGCAATTAATATTTGAAAAGCTTAAAATTATTTTTATATGTGTAAAAACCTCGTGTATTTTACTTCAGTGACGGAGTAACCACTCATACAATGTCTCCTCAAAGACCCCACAAAAGCCAGATCTGCCCTTCTTGATTCTTTCAAAGAAAACATGGGTGCAGAGGAGAGGGTAACTATGTATGGGCACAGAACAGAAATAAGGGACAAAATACCTTTGAGGAAAGGGAAAAAACATACCAAAATACTTCTTACACTACCTCTATCACTAACAACCCCTACTTCCTGTCCCCCAACCCCACCTCAAAAAAAAAAAAAAAGAAATCCATTTAGAAAACATCCTTGCAGATCACGTGGCAGCTGGCAAAGGCTGCTGCCCCTTCTGTCAGAGGCAGTTTAGGCTTTTGAAACAAAGCAAACTGGGTTGAAATTCTAGGCATTAAAAAACTAAAGCAGCTGCCTCCCTGACATCCTGGGTTGGACTCTGATTTCAGTTTTTCTTCTGCTAGATCTTGGGTAATGTCACTGCTACGGTGTAACTGAAATGAGAACTGGGACTGCTAATCTTGCCATTGGGTCACCCAGTGGAAATCCATTTGTTATCTCTGTTACATTTGTGAGAGCACACACACCCACTCCCTTTAGACTGTAGTAATTTATTTGGCCTATTTTATGTCTGATGGTCACTTGAAACTGTACCTCTTGCCTGTCAGCAGCTGTAGTTGTTTTGCTAAGTGACGATATAAAGTGAGACTTCCTTGTGCAAATGTGTATTTTAGACACTGTCACCAGAAATCCAGTGGCTCTCCTCTCTCCCTACCCCTCTCTCCTTGTCCCCTTCAGCTGTTTAGATTTCAGGACACATGGCTTAAATGAACGTATGCTCGGAGTTTGCAAAATGGCTTGAATGACAGGAGAAATCGGATCACACAATGAGAGTTCAGAACCCAGCCACCAATTGGTACAGCAGGAGTCTGCAGCTCTCTTACGCTCATTATTGTCTCGGCATAACACGCAGCGCTGCGCCTTTCTCACGTCCCCTCTGGAAAATGGGAATGCAATGGGGCGGGCGGAGGAATGTCCCCCTCCCTGCAAGCGGGGCTGTCAGCCTGCCGTGGTACCCCCAAGGCCTGTGGGGAGCGGGGTGGAGAAGGGCCTGCACACCTTATTGTGCCTTCTTTGCTTACGCTGGAGAATCTCCAGCTTATCCTGCCAGTGCAGTGACTGCATGTGGAGGAGGGGGAGAGGTTGTGTTGCAAGCTCTGAGAAAATTAGTTGTCTCTATTTTATCTTTTGCAGCTGCAGCACTTTTTTTTTTCTCCCCTCATCATTCCCCCCTCCCCATGCTAGTGGTATGTCTGAACCATATCCTTCAAACCAGTTTTCTAAGCAGATTAGAGACAGCTATGCAATCAGGCAAAAATGTGCACTCAAGCCTTCATTTCATGCAGTGGCCAGAGCAGTAAGTGTCTACCACCTGCATTTTTTTTTCTTCTTTCTCTCCCTTTGCTGTTATTCTATAGTGCTATTGTCTGTCACTTTTGTGCACTAAAACAAAATATTCGTTCTGATCCTTAATTATATAAAAATTAGGGAGGGGGAAGGAAGTTGGGTTCCACGCTAATACTCATTAACATGAAACATAGAGCATGCTCCTGAGCTGGCATGCTTCACCATGCAAAGTGACATTTGCTCCCTGTGAGCGTGGGGAAGGGTAATCTGGGGATTACCCTCAGGTCCTCTAATACCAATCCTCCCCTGACCAGTCTGGAAAACCAGTGTCTAAGTTTACTGCTCCTTTGAATTCAGTATACTCCCCTGGAGTGCCATTGCAAGTGAATTTGGTCTCCTGCTACCCCATATCTTTCAGTGCTCCCTATCAGCCTTGTTGCACGCTAGGAATCTGACAATAATGGTCTTCACCTGCTTTGAGATATCATGAGAACTCTTAAGCATTGGTATTGGTTTCATGTCTGGTCTCTTATAGGACAACGAGCTGAATTTGGGACTAAGCTCTCCAGACAAGTTTGGAAACCTTGTGTCTTGTTCAGTGTGGGTGGAAAATAGGGATAGGTTAGTGGGCTGAATGGCAGACCTGAGGAAGAGAGAATTGAGTAAGCCTTGGCTGTCTTCCAAGAGAGGAAACAGAGCAAAGTGTCCCAGGAGCCAATTGTTGCTCCTCTTGAGGAGAGGCAGGAACCCAGAGCAAGGTGATCAAGTAATGCTTCTTACAGTGAGTCAGGAGAAGCAGGGAAGAGAAGTTGTATGATAAAACTAGAAAAGAGAAATTGGGGGGTGAGGCTGGGGGGGGAAGAGAGAAGGAGAGGAAATAAACCTTTTATTTTCTATAGAGGGTATGAAGAAGGAAAGAAAGAGAAACTAAACTGAAGACTTTGGTGTGCTTTGTTGGGTAAGAAAGAATCTACTATAAGCCCAGGCCAAGAAAATTATATTTGAAATACTGGTAAAAAGGTTTAGAAAGGTTGGCATGATGCACTTAATTATCTTCTGCTGATGCTTCAAAAGAAAAAAAATTACTCTGAGAAGAGTTTAAAATTGCAGACAAGAGAGACTCAATCTTGCTGGCAAAAAGGGGGTGAAAAAGTGGGTGGAAAGCTGGTTGAATGTGTCAACCACAAAAGCAGTGAGATATGGTCGTAGAGAATTCAGGTTTTAAAACACAAGGAAATCGTGCAGAGATATTTCTCACACTGACTTGTAAATAGCATCTTTGGGTGTGCAGCATTGCCAAATTTACCCTTGTTACAGGGGCAACTTACAGTAAGTTCCCACCAAAGCCATTCACCATCTGTTTGGATTACTTAGAGGAAAGGTTCGTCTCCTTATTCCCCTTCTATTATATGTGACAGATTAATGTCTTTGAGGGCAGATCACTGTTAGGCTAAATCTTTCTCTGGTTATGATTCCTTATAACTATAAAACAGTCACGAGGTTATGGGGTTTAAAAAGAGAGGTTTATTGCAGTTTCCAACACTGAAACTGCAGGCTAAGTGTCTCTCTTTTTCCTTTTTTTTCAAGAGTAAATCAAATCCATCCATACACACACATTCACACACACACTCTGCCTTCTCTCAGATAAACAGACCTGGGGGAAGAGCACACACGAACAGAGCTGCATTATACAGTCTGCAGGAAAACTACTAAAATAGTTTTCTGTGAATGCATATTAATCTTCCCTCTGAGTCCTCTCCACATGTTTTAAGAACTGGTTGCTGAGCATGAGTTGGTGACACCCCTAATGTCTGAGGCAGAACTCAGAGCCTGCAGCAGCTCCTGCAGCAGTTGTTTCTACCCAACTCTCATCAAAGCTGTGCCCGTGCCTTAGCTTGAAGCTGCAAGGTATCGACCGTTCAGACATCTGTTGCAAACCCCCTGGTTCAATACTTGTCAGACTCTAAACTAGTCGTTAAACTCAGCTGATGAACTAAATCCTACAGTCCTTAGGTCATGCCAGGAGTTGTGCAGGAGGCAGAAGGGTGCTGACATTGCTATAATTTAAGATCCCTGCTGAGGAAGAGGAGTGAGATTTGTTCATGGTATTATTTTTAAGTCAGTTTGTAAGAATGCTACTGTGGTCAGTAGGAAACTGATCTGAATTTTCCTTGGAGTGGCTTTTTCAGGGAACTGTGTTTCTTTAAAACGGCAACTTTTTTTTTTTTTTTTCTCCTAGGAAAGCCCCATGCTAGATTTCTGATCATCTGTAAAATTAATAATAAAAATTAATAATAATTAATAGTTTTACCAGGAATGTTACATTGACCTGTCTATGCTGCCTGAATGGGAATACCTCTTTGCTTTGCTTTTCTCTGACTGATCTAAAAGGCTTCGCTTGGGATTGGTTCAAAACATTGCATTGGATTCCAAGTCATCCTTGAGTGCTCAGAGGGCTGTTGGCTGGGGTACCTATTCTGCAGGACTCCAAAGGCCCTGGCCTTCCCTTGTGGCAGTGTAGGTCTCCTAGGGGCCACGCTGTGCCACAGGAGACCTCAGTGTGTGCTTTGGGAACTGCCTCCAGCACGGGAGTCTCACCCAGAAGTGGGGCCAGGGTTACCAGGCTGCAGTGACTGAGGCAGTGCAACACTGTGGGAAGAAAAGCAGTGCAACACTGTACTGACTCAGAACAAAATTTCTCAGGTCAGGTCACCAAACCAAAATGAACTAACTTTGGTTTCAGTAATGTAAAATATTCCATTTCAAATGACATAAAACGCACTGGTGTTCACAAATAGGTTTCCTCTTTTTTGTTTGTTTCTTTCTTTTTAAACTTGTGAACTTCCATTCTGCATAGTCTCTAATTTCAGTTTTTCTGCCCGAATTGGGATGAGAGCAAATGCTGAAATACTGGAATTTCTTCCTTTCTGGGGAGGAGGCAGCTGGTGAGTAAGAGCAACCAGTTTCAGGGTTGGGAGAGCTGACTCTGAAGCCCTGTACACTGGAGCAGAGCAGGCGATGGAGGGACAGATAGGCCAGGGAGGGGAGCACACTGGCAGAAGGAGGGAAGTAGGGGATGGGAATGAGAAACAGCAATGAGGGCTAGAACAAAAGATAAGGAGGAGAGAGCAGAAGTTTCTACTTGGCTCCCTGGGCTGTGGAACAGCTCTGTTTTTGTGCTATTACACTGCTGGCAGTGCCTGGCTTAGCAGCCTGTGCTTGGCTGAGTGGCCAGCAGATGTGTGGGAAGGTGCCACACCGAGAGCTCCTGTCCCAGAGTGCAGGAGGAGCTCCTTGGAGAGGTCAGGGGCTGGGTGAGGTGGAGCTGGGGGGGGTCACACCAGTGCACGACCAGGCAGTGCTGCAGGTTTCACTTCTGCTCACAGAGCAGTTGAGTCCTTCTGTGCAAATAGAACAGGGGGTGAATGCAAGATCAAAAGCTGAGCACTTCTGGGTTCTCATCCTGGCTCTGAGCAGGGCACTGCAGCCCTTGTGAGTTACAGACTCTGCCACTGAGTGTTTTTCTGCAAAGCAGAAAGTGCAGGAATATTCTTCTCTGGTGGGACTGGGAAGGAGCACTAGTGACTGTTCCTAACACTGCAGAGTGTTTATTATGCTGATGCTTTTATTATTTAGCAAGTTTCTTGACTTTTAAAAATAAATATACTAAATTGATACACTCCATCCATCAGCAGTGCCCTCAAGGAATGAGTAGCTAATTAGAGAGCAGGACTTGTGAAAAGACAAACCTGGGTTATGCACAGAACAGGTTTCTCCAGTATTTATTGCCTACGTTACTGGCCAAGCTTCCTTGTAAGTAATAGTCAAATAATCGGCCTGGGTCCTTTTGTGAATGGCTTGAGTCTGTGTGGTCCCTCCTTTGTTAGAGCAACTCATGGCTTCTGAAAGCTTCTGCACCCCCTGTTCTGAACAGCAGAGCCTGGTGGCACCAGCTGCTTCTGCCTGGAACAAACATTTGCATGCGACATTAAAAAGAAAAAAGCTAGTTTCAAAATGTATTTTCTTTTCCTTATCCCCTCATTTTTTTAGCCCTAGATCAAGCTCGGGAAATATTTAAAAGATAAATATATTTAGCTTTTTCTACAAGCATCTTTTAAACAAGTAAAGCTTGAAGAGGAAAGAGTAATCTTTCCTTCAGAAATAAAACAGCAGCCAGTGTTTGGAAATATTTTAACAATAGACCATATGGGAGTCCCAAACTATTAAGCTTTATTATTCAGAAGGCGGAAAATGTGGTTTGATATTCAATTGATATACAGCATAAATGAGAGCCGCAAACTCGGCTCCCTTGAGCTGGGATTCAGATGTTCTCTTGAATATAATAACCAATGCTTTGGCCTAGTTCCACAGAATGCATCCAGCCTGCTGATCACAAGCCAAGAAACTGTAGGCTTTTTTTCCCCTTCCCCTCTCTTCTCCAAAGTACTTTCCTCTCCTGCCAGCATGAGCTTTTGGCCTGAATATAAATCTCTTGATACTGGATGTGTATAGAAAGTGGGGAGGATGCTAATGGTGCCCAGCAGTGGAGCTGTGTGTGTGCACGCGTGTGTTTGTTTTCCTTCTGCTTTCATGATAAGATTTTTCCCCTCGCAATGTGCTCTCAGGGGATTACCTTGGTCATCCTAGGTGGGAGCATCTTTGTTCATGTTTCACTGTTTGTTTCTTAGTGCTGTGGGAGCAGGTGAACATCTTTTGGGGTTACTGTGAAGTGGTGCCAGAGACCATGAGAGTGTGGAATTTATTAGAGGGAGAGACTGGAAGTGGTTTCAGTTTCTTTTCCTTTTTTTTTCTTTTTTCCCCCTGGTTTGTTTTGCATATATTTGTATTTGCCCTTACCCCTTTCTATCACATCTCTTTTAACTTTCTCTTCTATGGGGAAAAGAACCCATAAAGGCTGCTTATAAAATATTACATACACGGACCAAGATTGCCTGTATGCAAAAAGGGACTGAAACATTGATCCTGTGATCAACTTAGGGCAGACTGGATCACCCATTTTTTTGACACAGGATCCTTTTGGTATCAATATCCTCAACTGTATTAGGTCCTATCTTTTCTATCCTCTCATGATCTCTGTGGTTTGTTATTTCTCCTGAGTAGGCAGGAGACACCAGCATTAAGGTATCTTGCATTTTTCTCTAGAAGTATGGTGAGCTCAAGAAAAAAGACTCCCACTTTACATGTGAGTCCAGGAATGCCTCTCATGTAGAACACTGGAGAGAATAAAATTATGCATGCTGAACGTGGAGTTCAGTTTTGGCTTCGGTCTTTTCTCCATTTCTCTTTTCAGTTGTTCATGATAGCTTAAATTTTCCGTGTTTTTGTCTCAACCCACAGTCAAATTTTTTCCTTTGGGGAAAACTGGAGCAAAATCAATTTCAGTGCAATTTTTCAAGTCTTCTTGACTTGCACTTATATCTGTTTGGTGTGGGGGAGTGGAATTTTATCATAAAACGTTTGATTTATTTAATGTATTCAATAAGCATCGAAGATGTGCCAGGTACTTTCTCAGCCCTTTTGGATGAGAAATCTTGCAAGCTATGAACTTAATAAACAAAGAAGTTCCAGAACTCAAAATTTCCCTGCTGTTAAGGTCTCCATATATCTGAGGAATAAACCAAGTTGGAACAAAGCAGATCCTAAGGCTTGTCAAGTATGAAATGTCACAGGCAGTACTGATGAGATCTGTGATTGAAACAACTATTTTTAAAAATATATTTCCTGATCCTGTTGTCTGCCTAACTTAAACTCAGCTGAGATGTACCCATGCAGCAACTCTACTTTCATTGCAACTGTGAGTCTGTTTCTGTTGGTGAAGCTGCTGTTATGGGCATGTGGTGCTGTACCAAGGGCTCATCTAAACAGGGTCATTGATTGAGACCAAGGTAAGTCACAAATTGAATGGAAGAGCTAGTCTCAGTCAACTTCATCATCCTAATGAAGAGGCAATTTGGAATAGTTAATAAGGAATAGCTGTTCTGGAATAATCCCTTTTTAAGACAAACCCTCACTGTTTCTATAATTGCATTCCAGGAAGCTATTCTGTTCTGAATCAGCATGGGATAGAGTGCCTAGAAGACGTTCAGACCAAGCACAGCTAGCGGTGAGTGGGCAATACACACTGGGATGCCCTATTGCAACCATTCCAAGTGAGCAGCAGAATAGTCAAACTGGTTGCCTGTAAATCTCTCTAAAAGGCAACTGAAAGTAAATACAAAAATCACAGTGCAAAGGCCTCTGTCTTAGCAGGGATGAAGTCTGAGCTGCCTGAGCCTGGTGTTACGGACAGAATGCATGTCTCAACCCGTAACTGATCACAATTTGATTAAATGTTGGGGTGTGGAAAGGACTTGTGTGCTTTTTCCCAATGTGTATATTTACATCATTATGTGGGAGCAATCAATTTATCAAACCCATCTGATTATTCAATAGTAGGGAAAGACAATTGGTTGGAAGAAAACGTGTATTGTTTTTAAGGTGGATAGAAAACTGGTTTAAAAGAAATTCACACAATCCCTTTCTTTTGAGGAGAGCCTACACTAACAAACTGATCATGGAAAGGGAAACACAATAATTTGTCATTGCTAATAATTTAAAATGCCATGAAAATCTTCCTGCAGCATAAAACTTTGTGCTTGTCCTTGCCAAGGAGGATGGGCTGGAACAGAGGTGGTGCTTTTGTGGTTCAGTACATTGGAGTTGTGATATAGCTGCTGTTAATTCATAGTTCTCTTGACTTTTGGAACTCACCCTTTCTTTTAAAAGGGAAGGTGGCAGCCTGGAGTGGAGAAGCTCCAACTGCAGCCCTCTGGATGTTAATCCACCCCAACTTTCTTAAGCCTCCTACTTAAATCATTATCTTAATGAATCACCATTGCTGCTATCTTCAGTGCTACACAGGAACATGCAAATTTTAAACAGCCTGGGGGAAAGCCCTTTTTGTCTGTAAAGTGCTCTGATACTTGCATTTAGATGTTACCATGATAAGTACCTTGGATACTACTTTCTGCCTAACCCCGTGGATAGATCCTGGGGTGTAGCTCTCCCCAGGGCCTGCTGGGCAGCTCTGGGCTCCCTGAGATGGATGTGATGATTCTGCTACTGACTGGGAGCAGCAGCTTGAGCTCAGGTGGTTGAAGCCAGATCACTCCACCATTGTCCTTCAGCTGAGGGCCTCTTGCCTGTGCTTTCCTGTAGTTGCAGAATGACAAGGAGATAGGGAAGTGAGGATGGGAGTCTGTCCTTAGCTCTCCAATTGCCATTTTCACTTTGGGCAAGTTTCTTCATCTCTTCACTTGAATTTTTTTCACAGCTTAAATAAGCCATGCAAATGTTCATGGATCAATGAAATTTTCTCCCAAGTAGATATCAAGGAATTTGATACAATAGGAAAACTACCAGCTTGCTAGAAAAATATTTGTTTAATGAAAAACTGAACATAGTGAAGCCACTGCAAACTGTGTCCAAGACTTTCAACATTGTGTCTTCCAAATTTTTCCTTCATGATTCAATTTGGCTACACATTGAGCTTCAGTTCTCCCAGTTGATCACTTGAGAAATCTTGATTTGTAAATGGTTGATATGGAGAGAGAGCCACGTATAACTGTTTCAGATGGCAAATCTTTGTGGTTATTTACAACATGTATTGAAAGATTTGATTCCTTTATTCATTTAAGCCAAGAGCTGGAGAAGCTGTTTCATGCAAATGTCCTAGATGATAAGAAGTGCCCTTCTCAAATTGCAAAGTCAGTTCATCCATTGTCCTTTTGCTAGGGCTTAGAAGTAAAGTCCATTTCCTACTATGGATGACTTTTCCTCACTAGTAGTAGTTCTGCTTCTGGAGCAATGGCAGATAAATGGGGAAGATAGCAGGTGAGCAAAGATCCTTTAGTTTCAGCTAAGAGAGGACTTTATTAACAGAACTGAGCTTAAATGCATTTTCTGTGCTAACATTCTCAGTTGTCAATTGCTTCTGGGAGAGTTATGCCTACAAGAGACGAGAACACTTATCTCAAGGAGGACATCCTCATTCCCTCATTCTTCTCAGTCAGATCTTCTCTGAAACAAGTTCAACTGGAGCTAGATACTTTCATGCTAAGAAGAATGCAGCTTCCAAAGAAAGGAGATGAACAAACAGTACATGCTGACTTTTTGTAGCTCAAAGCCTTGACAAATGTCCACGTGTAAGGCAGGAGATATGATCTGCTTCCTCGCCTGTTTGTGCACTCCTTTCTGGAGAACAGCAAAGAACTAGCTGTGACTCAAGTGACTCAAACTTTTTTCCCTGCTTGGTGTACCTCCGAACAGACTGCTGTTTTCTTGTTATAGTGTTTAAGGCACTCTTTGCAAACAGCTTTACAGTGATAACTTTTCTGCTTATTGTGAGCAGGCTGTTGTGTTCTCTGTGTTCAAGCTCCTAGTAGGTTCTGATCCCTAATGGGATGGAAGCATTTTATAACACAGGGGTAAATTAACTGGGGAACCATCTAATAGGTTCAGCACCACAAGAAGTGCCAGAGTAGGGATTTCAGAAGAAGTATCAGAAGGGAATTGTACATATGTGTATAAATGTGTGTGTATATTGTGCATACATTTCAAAAGAGAAAATAGAAGTGACTGACATGTGGAGCTGAGGGCAAAACTTAAATGCAACTTCTTCTCATTCCAGTCTTGGAAAATCATGGTGATGGGTGTAGACAGGTCTCAGGCTGACTCTCTGAATTGCCTTTATGTCAGAACTCCAACAAGGAATTTGGTTCAATTTCTTATCCTACTGAGTAAAAGGGATGTTCTATCTCACATAGTTTCCTTAGGAAACTGAAGGAAAGGGATTCTTCTTCACAGATCTTAACACACCCAATGTAATTTTTGCAGGCACTGTGTGCAAAATATTCAGTAAATGAGCTATCCAAAAGGAATGTTTCAATATGCTGAACTGGATTACTTTATTCCCCCAGCTTTTGCACACTGTTTTATGCTCATGGGTAGTTGTAGATTTTTGTCAATGTACAAAAGTTGTTATTTCTATAGTTATCCCATTCAAATTCAGCAGTTTGTTACTATGGAAGTAAAATGTGTCTGTGCTATTATTTTCTTAATCTGTCTTGAGCTGCTTTTCTTAACTGCATGTTCATAAGAGTCCGAGTTTGCTCCAATTACCTGCTCGGTTTTCTGGTCAGGTATGCTGAGATGTAGTGTTTCAGTTTATAACTTTGGTTTTTGTTGTTTTTCTCCTGATGTGTTACAACTGCCTGCCAGAAATTCTGAAATTGTGGTCAAACAAACTGCTCTGATGTTTCCTCCCAGTGTTTGCTAATTCAGCAGCACTTGAGCTGCTTATAAGAAGCACAGAGGAACCACAGCTGTGAATGGCAATGCTGTGTGAACAAGTGATGCACATAGCACTACACAGGTAGAGGGGTTTTAATCTGCAAGCATATCTGTCATTAATTTTAACGCCTTTAGGAACTGTGGTAGCTCAGCTAAGAGAGGGGAGATAAGCCAAGCAATTATATGGAGCAGCTCTGTTTGGTGAAGCACATCTTTTGGGATTAGCAGGGGCTCATGAGGCAGGGTAGTGATTTGTGCATCACACTGCCAAGTCTGACTGATCCTTCAGGACAGTCACTATTATGTAGGGCCTCCTGGGAAATTTCTTAAGACTGGGATATTGTCTGGGACAAGACTGAGAAAGTTTCCTTGGTTTGTCAGTATAGATTTTAATGCAACAATGCTCCTCCTGTTTGCTGGGGAGAACCACTTCCTTTCTGCTTCTCTCCTTTGTGGACCTCCTTGCTGGGTGTACAGGTGAAAGAAAGCAGCTTTGAGTGACTGCAAACTGCTGTGCTTTTGGGAAGACTCTGAAAAATGGCAGGGATTTGAAAGCTGAGATTTTGACTGACTCGAATTGAGTAAAAAATTCGAGAGAACTGTGGCACCAGTTGTTGGGAGAAGAAAAATGTCATCTCTTACCTCAGCAGACTACTTAAGAGCACTCTGAAGTGAGTCCCCAGAAAATTCTTGCAGAGGGACAAATGGGCAGCTGGGAGGAAATGCTGTACTCCCTGAAGAAACAACTAACTCTGGATGTTTACCCAAGCTGGTAAACCAAACAGAAACCATCAGTGTGCTGCTGGGAAAATCCGTGGTGTGCCAGTGTCTTAGGCACAGTGCAGTTCAAATCATCACCTTCAAAGGTAGTGGAGGGCTAGGGAAGATCCAGAGAAAAATCAGTCCCTGTGATTTCTCTTTGCCACAGAGAAGAGATGACTTATTACAGAAATTGCAGATGTGTTGTATTGTCAGGAATGGGAAGGGGAGTAGGGAGTGATCCTTCACAGTTCCTGGGTTTGCTAAATTGATTCAAAGCAGGCAAAGAGGAGGCACTCTGTCAAGCAGCAGTTACCCCGTGAAATTCATTGCCACAGGGTGTTATGGATAGCAGAAGTCTAAACAGATTGAAAAATCGATGAAGGACAGATAAGTCCTTATTAAAAGTGATGGCCTGGATGCAACCTCTGGATCAGGAGATCTTTAACAATTGCACAGGGTGTAAGAAGGAAAAAGACTGCCTGTATTCTATGTCATTGCTTTTCCTCCCTCTGCCATCCCTCACTTTTTCTCTTTTTGGTCCTATTCTGGCTATTGCTGAAGAATAGAAAGGAATAGACCTTTACTCTTATAAAACAGCTATTTTTACAGTTCAAAACTAGAAAGGAAACCAGCTACTCTGCAGTGCAGGAAACTAGTTTTGCCTTGCAGCCTACAGGTAATGTAAACCACACTGAAATGGAGAGAATGAAGAGTCAAATGCCTAAAAATGTGTATGTGTTACAAAATGCCCCTGTAGCTGGCATCTTTTTTAAAACTCACAGTGAACAGGAAGCTGAGCTTCTTAACGAAGTATAAGTAACTACAATGTTTCCAGTTACTTTCCGCAGGTCTCCTCTCGGTGCTACAGTAACTGATAATGCACCTAATGAGCTGACTTGGGCATTTTTAATGCGAGTAGCAGTGACACCTTGGGTCGGAAGCTTGAGGGTGGCTGCCCTCCACAGAAAGGACTGGTGGAGCACGACAGGGAGGGAGGGAGCAGAAAGTTGG